GACATGGAGGAGATCGTGCGAGGAAGAAATGAGAGCTTGTGGGCTGTCGTGGAGCTAGGTTCAAAAAATTTCAGAGAACAGAGTGCACTGGAGACGTGCTGCTGAATCCCTATGTTCCATTAGGAACCCAAGGGACAAATAATAATGATAGGTTCACCAACAACTACATCACATATTTTAATCTGATGAGATTCTACAAAAGTAATGGAAGATGAAAAAGTGAAGATTAGGAGGTGATCATAAGACAGGAAACAATTTTATATATGCCTCCCAAAACTTTCAAAGTTTTTCTTTTATTGACAAAAATTGGAAGAAAAATTTCTAGTTAGATATGATAATCTTGGAAGTCATTAAATTATATAACTTCATGAAAGCAGTGGTATGGTGATGCACCAAGGGAAGTTAAGTCCATTCAACTGTGACATTAACTTCTAAGACTAGGTAACAGTGAACAGGATAGAAGCCGTTGGAATGAAATGCGTCAGAGTCTTTAGATAAACACTTGCATCTGAATTCGAAAAAATTTTCCGCATGTTACCATTATATGCAATTAACATCAAGGATGCAACGGTGGACGAACACAAGATCGTACAACATCGTAAGCTTTGAAGGCTTAGGTCTTGTAGGCATGAAATAGAAGTAACGTCCTAAAAGTGTTATCAAAATAGGCTGTTACAGTCAGAACAACATTACGATATCCTTAATAATAACGCATATTGGTATATAACGCTTTAGGAGCTGCTAAGCAGTGAGATTTAGTATCTGTAAAACTTTCGGACGTAAATACTAAGCAAGATACAGTAACTTTCAGAATACTTCTAAATAATTTATCGTTGATGAGTGGATCCAGGCACTTGCTCTCGCAGCGGTCCGTATTTTATTTCGTTGAAGAACAAACATGATCGAAATATTTCCTCCCTGAAGAGATCTAACCCTCCACAGAGACCATATCTAGCAATAGAAAACCAAAATATATATCTTGTTATAGTGTTTACGATACCCATAAAATTTTAGTCTACTGCATTCCAAAAGTTTTACTAAACTTCCCTGAAACGCTAAATCTTTACAGACTACCAAAGATGAGTCCTACTCATTGATTTGCTGGTAACCCCAATAACAAGAAGGAAGCACTGTTGTTTTCATGAAAAACATGTAGGCATATTTGAATTAACTGGTGAAGGAACAGCATATTATAACTGTATCACTTTTGTAAGAGGTTGAGTGGTATTTTAACAATATACTTCAAAGAGATTAGGATGACAAACTTCCATAGTTTGTTAAAACATTACTTTTTACAAAATGATAAATTATCATATTACAAGAATGCTATACATTTAGTTCCCTTGACAACTTTGAATAATACAAAAACAAAGATATTTACAGAATAAAATGAGCTCATTTCATGACAATTCATCAGCTCCAAACACTCCACAAGTGAAATGAAACATTAATGATAATAACGACAAAACATACTTTAAATGTGTAGAAACAAATGAAATTTTTGAAAGCAAACATTACAAGAGTGTAAAAAAAGGGGCTATTGAAAACCTAGTACGTTGCGTGATTATATGAACAGACTAGAAGAATGTTATGCTGAGTGATTAATAGTCAGTAAGTAATTAATGAAGAGACGGTGCATTCAGAAAAATGAGAACAAAGGGTTTCAGTAGCACGTCGCCACTTCATTCTCTTCTCTATAGTCTTTTCAACGACGACTCCCCTTAAGCTTTCATTTCTTCCTCACACGATCTCCTCCATGTCATCCTCGCCTCGGATGCCCAACTCGTCGTTTCTACTTCGAGTTCCACTTGAGAGCCTGGTGTGTGATGTCTCCGAATGATCTTCTCACTGTATGTCCAATCCAATCTAATCCATCTCCACTTTCTTCTGCATACTTGTTGGGCAATAGGTTATTTCGAAGGATTGAGGAACATTTATCTAAGTTCATATTTATCACCAGGTAACTGACGATTGTGCTAGTAAAGATAATGCTACCTTTCAGACACAGACTTCCCTGAATACGCTGATAAAATCGAGAAGATACCCTTCTTTTAGTCCTTCCATTTTCATAGCTACATAATTTTCTATTTCATCAGATGTGTAAAATATGCTATCGATTTTGACTATGGTTTGTAATTATAAGTCCTGTATTTCCACGGTTCATTACCTCATTGTTAATCTCAGATTTCGAATCTTCCTTTATTTCTACATATTTAAAGTACGTTTTGTCATTATGACTACTAATCTTTCACTTCAACTGTAGCAGCTGTTTGCAGCTGATGAAAAGTAGTGTGACGAAATGAGACCATTTTATTATGCAAATGTATTTGTTTCTGTAATATAAGTGAAAAACTTGGGCACTGTGGTAGAATGTAGTTCCATATTAGATTTGTTTATTTGATATAAAGCGCACAGTGATACAGTATTATTTACTTGATTACGTTTCGAGCATAAATTATTGCTCATAATCATATCAATGTAATCACACTTCTTTCGACATCTGATTTTATAGTCCTGTCACCTGATCTCTCTTTGTTTTTTGATTGGTAGTAAAGTTTTCCATATCTCTGGTATAGGTGTTGCGTCATTCCTATTACATGTGTTGGGTGTGGATTCGATGAACAAAGATTCAGTAATTAATCTCTCTCTCCACCTAGCTATATTAGACTTAAGTACAGTGGTTTTGTCCCATCCTATTGTGTGGTTGTGTGTTAATGAATGTAATGCAATGGCTGAGTGTTTTTCTAGGTTATTGATCTTATTGGGGTCTATCGTTCTATGTTTAGCTAAATTCCTATGTTCTGTTAATCTAACTGACCCCGACCGGCTAGTTTGACCTATGTATTTGACTTCACAGTCATTACATGGAATTTGGTAGATTATATTATTTTGCTTAATTGGTTCTATCGGATCTTTTAGCCGACAAAGCTTACCTCTAAGTGAGTTTGTTGGTTTAAATGCCACCCTAATTCCAACCTTGTTGAGAATCCTACGTATGGTTTCTGATGTTCCTTCCTTGTATGGTATCACAATAGAGGTGTTGATTTCCTTTCTACTTATGTTGTCACTATTATTTGTATTAGTGTTATTATTTTGCTTCTTATGTGTCCGTGTGAATTTCTTAATAAAATGATGGGGATAATTATTAATTATTAACGCTTCTTTTATGTGTTTCAATTCCTTATTTAAGTCCTTACAATGACTAGTGAGTTTCTCAGCTCTGTTATTTAGACATTTGACTAAACCCGCTTTAACTGACACTGGATGAGATGACTTGAAGTCTAGATACCTGTTAGAATGTGTTGGTTTTCTGTAGACGGTAGTATCTAAACCACCATCTATCCTTCGTTTTATTCTGCAATCCAACATAGGTAATTCTCCTTGTTCATTTTCTACTTCGTAGTGAATTGGATTGCGTTAACTACTGAGTTTATGTGTGTCAAGAAACTGTCGATATGTTCCGATTTCAACACTGTAAATGTGTCATCTACATATCGCCACCATATCTTAGGTGTCGGATTATATGTTCGTAAAGCCATATCTTCCCAACTATCCATAAATATATCTGCTACTATAGGGGATATTGGTGATCCCATTGCTACTCCTTCTGTTTGTCTATATATCTTTCCCTGAAACTTGAAGACTGTCGAGGTTAAGCATAACTGCACTCCTAACATGATTTCACCAACCGATGCCTTGGTTCTTTGAGTAAGTTGTGAGTCAGTATCTAGTTGATTTCTGACTGCCTCCAGTGCCATATTGATTGGTATTTTAGTATAAAGACTTGTTACGTCAAAACTAACCATTTTTTCATCCTCTTCTATGTGCAGGTCATTAAGTTTTTGTTTCAACTCGTAAGAATTTACTAGTCTAGAGTTGGAACGGTCTCTAACAGGACGTAATACTGATGCTAAATACTTTGATATCTCATATGTTGGTGTGTTTCGGAAGTCAACTATCGGCCTAATGGGATAACCTGCTTTATGAACCTTAATAGTACCGTAAATTCTGCTAGGATTATTAGTTTTTGGCATTAAAGTAAACCATTCGGACTTACCTAGAGATGGCTTCAGTCGGCGTATCAGATCTGTTGTAGATTTCTTAATTTTATTCATGACAGTATCTATAGGTTTCTTAATCTCTTCATATGGCCCTGTTTGGATATGTTCATCCATTTTTTTAAGATAATCCGATTTGTCCATAACTACTGTTGAGTTACCTTTGTCAGATTTAGCAATTACTATACTATTATCCTTTCGTAGATTGTTTAAAGCTGAATTTTCCAGTTTCGTTAAGTTTCGCTGTGTCTTCTTTTGTTTTTTAAGTGCTAATGCACACTGCGCTCTAACCTGTTCAGCAGTTGTCACATCCACCGAGCTTAATGCTACTTCTATGCTAGGTATGACATCTTCTGGTTTTAGATGATCTACTGTTATGTTGAAGTTTAGTCCTTTTTCAAGTACTTTAATCTCAGCTGAATAATAATAATAATAATAATAATAATAATAATAATAAATAATACTGTATCACTGTGCGCTTTATATCAAATAAATAAATCTAATATGGTATTTGTTTCTGCACTATTCAAATATCGAATTTCCTCCATCAATGTCTTTGTATCTGACCTGAGTTTTTGATGAACCGATACATAGTTCGAATCAAGAGATTCTTGTAGTAGAGGTAGTTCATTGAAAGCAATCAGTTTGAGAGAAAGTTTTATTCATTCATTGAGAAATATTCAAGCATGATATAACAGGCCATTAAATATATTATTTTCATCACTCATACCTCAAGTACTATGTCATTACTTTGTTACTTGCTATGTTTTTATGAAAGTATCTTAAAACATGACTGGTTTTTTATGCGTTTCAACTTATGTATAAATAGATAGTCGTTACAGTGGTATTGTATGAAGTATTATGTGTTGTTTTTTGTTCATTCTTAAATTGTTTATTTTGATATGTGAGTTAAAACGGTTTCTTCTATTGAACTCTTTTTAGACACCAATGAATGAGGCTTCAACTCGATCTCATTGCATTTTCACTATACATATTACATCACGACCATATGGTTCATCGATTATACGACGTTCAAAATTGCATCTTGTTGATTTGGCTGGGTAATTCATCTGAGAAACTTTGGTATCATGTATCATATTAATTTTAAGATTGTATGCTTTTCACTGATGAATTAGGTATACACTGAGAATGCCGATTGTGGACATCATGTGCCAGGCCAAGCCCGTCGAGTGGAATCCAAAGCGGAAACGATAGGTTGGGCATCCGAGGTGAGGGTAACATGGAAGAGATCATATAAAGAAGAAATGAAAGCTTGTGGACAATCATGGAACGGTTCAAAATACTGCAGAGAACAGAGTGGAATGAAGGCATGCTACTAAATCCCTATGTTCCACTAGGAACCCAATTGAAAAATAATAATGTTTTACTTTAAATTTCCTAAGACTTTCAGATACGTGAAAACTTTATAAAATGAAATTGTAAGGCATATAATTAAGTTTTTTTTAGGTCTTTTATCTACTAGGGAATCAAATGAATTGGCTTATAATACTCATTCCTGCCATTCTTAGATATATTCTCTTTAAAAACCTTAAAGTTATCATTGCCTTGTCTATAGTTCACCATTTTTTCGCTAGACGAATTGTACAAATTAAATATCTGATTAAAACTTGTCATGAAGTAATATCATTACTGAGATTATGGATAACCAATTGTTTAGTAAATGATTTACCAATGAAATTGAGAAAATTAATCGAAAAAAACTTGAAATTATAGCAGACGATTTGAAGCAAATTAGTTTAATGAACTCAGTTCACTTTAATTTGATGCATTAGAACCTATTCAACTTCATCCTCTTCGTAAAAATAAGTTTAAGAAACTCCTTGGTAAGCATAATTTAAATTTTATCGTGAGCTAACAGAAGTTGGAAATATGGAGCATTGGATTGTAACCCAGTGGTTCAATGGCAACTTGCTGGCCAAGGAGCCTAAAGGTCGCGGGTTTGATCCATGGTGGGGTCGTGGGTGCGCACTTCTAAGGAGTCCCATACTAGGACGGAAAAGCTGTCCAATGCTCCCAGGTTTCCTTTGTTCTTCCAACTGATATCAGTCTACGATGAGTAACAACTTGAAATAATTCCAAATCCCCACAACTCCTTGGTAAGCATAATTTAAATTTTATCGTGAATTCAGTTTGAGTGTTTATATGGATTTATTGATTCCAAGTTGGCATTCATCACACAAATCCCTTTTGTTATGTTATTTGGTTAGTTTTGACTCCATCACAAAAAAGGATAGTCGACTGGAATGACTTTTGGAACATAAAAATGGGAGGTGTAAACAACAATTAAGTAATCATGATTGAACTTAACCTCTTAACGAAGGAATAAAACTACCACTGAAGTTTAGGTTGAGTGAGGGTTAATGATACTACCTAGCTGCCCAAATGTCTGTAAGTGGAGCGATATTTAAACCTATGACCCACTGGTTGAAAGTCAACTGATGAAGCCATTGTGCGCGAAAACCTATGTTAAAATGTAGACTTTTTGCGTTGGTCAGTTATTGGAAGACAAGCATTACCATTTTATCCTGACCCAACAGTATCAGTTACAGTTTAAAAACACCATATCACAGTCCACTGTGTTTCAGTGTAAGATAGCTGGAGTTGATTTGCTGACTGACAAGAAACATGATAGTTTTATTTGATAACATGAAGGTATTAAGTTTCCAAATATCAGCTGCATTGAGCTGCATCAAAATTTCTTGTAGTAAAAGATGCCTTGCAAAACATGAGATTTCTAGTATTAAAATTGCATAACGCAGCATCATGTTTGTCCAAAGCTCAGTATTCTTTCAGTATTGCCAGTTTATTTTATGTAACCCCCCCCCCCCCTTATATTGTTTAAACCATCGAAGAAACTAAGAAATTTAGTTTTTTTGTTTTATTTTTAGTTCAGAAAGGGTTTATAAATATGGTCTAGATGGTACTTTGTTGACAGAAGCAAAGTATATTAATCTGTCGCTACACTATTTAGAACAGGTTAGTTGACTGTTTGATAATGTAGTTTTCAATGGCTTTAAGTTCCCCATATTATTTATAGTATATCTAAGAAACAATGATTTTAAAAGTTATTTTTGTTGACGATCCTCATTCAACATCTATATGAAGACGCCACTTGCCAAGTAATTCACAATGGGAAGCTAAGTGATGCCTTTGAAGCAAAGCGAAGACAGAAGTAAAACAAGGTTGCCTACTATCCCTTGTGATATTCCTGATTGTGGTCGACTGGATCATACAGCAAACAGTGGGGAACGAGAAGAGGCGGATACGCTGACTAGACTACAGAAAAGAACCTAGAAGATCTGGATTTCGCCTATGGCTTGTGTCTGATGTCACATAAACTTGAAGATCTACAGGTGAAAACCAACAAGTTGACAGAAGAGGCAGTGCAGCGAAGACGGGACTTCAAGTGAATATAGAGAAGGTAGTGGTGATGAAGATACCCAACCAACAATAACAACAAGAAGCTCCAATCAGCATCAATAGGAGAGACTTGAAGGAAGTAGTCTCTCTCACCCATCTAGGCAGCATCGTTTCAACTGCAGGCGGTGGCGGCACAGATGAGGACGTCAAATCCAGCCAGTATCGAAGAGACAGCAAGACAGGCTTTTATTAACCTGAAACCAGTGTGGAGATCGTTTGCACTGAACTCAGGATAAAGTGTGAACAATATCCGGATTTTTAACACCAACGTCAAGTCAGTGCTTCCATGTGATGGTTGAGAGACTTGGCGTGTTACAAAAAGCATTTCCAACAAACTACAAACACTCATCATCAACAACTGCCGCCTACGCTCACTCGTTACTGAGGATCAGATGGCCAGAATAATGAGAATGAGCAACAAGCAGCTCTGACTGGCTGGTAACGAACCAACCAAGAACCTAACACTCAACAAATATGCATTGGAAGGAAGTGGAGATGGATTGGAGTGGGCATACACTGAGAATGCCGTTTGGGGACATCGCGGGTCAGGACAGGCCGTCGAGTGGAACTGAGATGGGAGGCGACGATTTGGGCTTCTGAGGTGAGTGTGACATGGGGGAGATCATGTGAGGAGGAAATGAGAGCTTGTGGGGAGTTGTGGAGCCAGGTTCTAAAGATTTGAGAGAAGAGATTGGAATGGAGACGTGCTAGTGAAGCCCTATTTCCCACTAGGATGCCAAGGGATAAATAATAATAATAATTTGTTGACGATAATGATGCTGATGGGGCATTCTCACAGTTGAATAGTTTAATTACGAAAATTTCGAAATCTTTCATGATAATATTAAGGCTTCAGTTCATTCCAAAAGGTTACGCTGACGATGTTTTATAAAATATCGAGGAAAGTAATACAAATTTGTTATTCATCTGAACGAATACAGAGTCATAGAAATATTCATCTTTTAGTGAAATCCCAAAACATACTTGACCTGTTATTGGTGAAAGAATGAGCCTTTTAAGAGTAAATTCTCACCACTGAATATTTAAACTGGGTCTTTATGAAGTATGTTCAGCCTTTTAGTTTATCTAACAGAGATGGCTATGAAATTCAGGACGCAGGTTTTACGTTATTTGAGACTCATCAACCAAATTTATCTGTCCCCGGCATTATCCATTTGGCTTCTGGAGCACGAAAGCTATCGCATGTGCAAAGGATATCAGGCTTTGTTTCCTGATACTTGTAATTTTCCGTTACTCTATTGGGTCGAGTTGCTCAACCTATATTGGTAGATGGGCTCCTATGAGGATGCCATAATACTGTCCGATATTCATTATATTGTACTCTATATAATGGGTAGTCTTGTTAAACCTTGTTAAGTAGATTATCCAATTTTATGGGGATAAGACATGAATGGATGGACTTATACATTTAAAAAAGTTTATGTCTATCTGAATTAGTCAAAAGATTTGAATGATGCTTGAAATAGTTTGCTTTACCTTATTTTCCTAATCAAAGTACTTACGCAATAGTACAGATGCTAAAGTGTTTCACTTATAGTAACTAATATGTTCCAGTGTCTAACTTCTAAAATAATGTCTTGGCAAGTATGATGCCCAAGCTATTGCATGCAAATCGCCTATCATTACAATCGAGAGCAACTCAGATCAGATCATGGTGTAGTTGAAAAACTAACATCTGCTAACACTTAGAGAAGTGATACGGAATCTGAATTCTGTTACATCTCATTTACCAGGATGAAGGAATAAGCTTGCCGGCGGAAAAACACTGATATTTCATATATTCTATTGCATTTCGATTTTTCGTTCAGTCATCTGAAGTTAACTTCTTTACCTGAAAATTAGTTATCACTAAAGATGAACAGTGGCGCATAAACTCTTGGGAACTGAAAGGAAACAGATGAGAGTATGATGACTTTTAAAAAAATTAATCGTAGTTTATACTGTGTAAATTGTACAACATAATCTCAAGTAATGTAGCTTTAAACGACACAAGCATGAGATCTACACAAAACGCCAAAATTTTACCTAGATAGTTTAATCAGTGTGAGAGTGGTAATTTATCAGTATGCTTTCTTCGATCGTTTATTTCCTAATTCAGTCGTTACAATTAACTTTAGGAGTTGCAAGTTAATCTACGCCAGCAAATCACCAATTAATTTGCTGTCAAGCGTTCGTTACTAAATAGCCTCGAAATAAATTTTTTTTCGAAGTTGTTTTGGGAATGATAGTTACGCCATGTCAATTAACAAAAACAGATGAATAAGGACCGTTGGATTCTAATCCATCAGCTGAATGGGAATCAGGAGAACTAGAGGTCCTGAATCTAGTCTTTTGGATGGTTTTAGGTGAATACTGATGAAGAATTTCATGTCATACTACTAGATCTCGCCAGTCTCTGTAGCAGATGTCGGTTTATGATGAAATTCAGAGTAGTAGTTATAAAGCCATTTGAATGCTCAGTTCTAAAATGTTTTTATACAGCAAACAGTCATGCTTTATTATCAATCTAAGGTCATTGAAGCTGATTTTGTGAGATAACTTCACTAATTCACTAATAATACCTCTATTCTCCAGGACGGGCATCAAATTATGATGGGGCATCATCAAGTCTAATTACTATTTAATTGGTTTGAGTCAAGAGTATTAATAGTCCTAAGAAGATACCGGTGATATTAGATGGAGAACAAGCTATCAAATACTCACATTTAACAGTGAATGCTTCTCATAAATACAAGAACTTTATTTAAAGAGATTAGTACTCCTGGTGCTGTCAACGTAGAGGCCCTTCTTGTGGGTTCAAAAAGTGATCTGTGTTTTTAAATCTCACTCTAGCTTTCTTTATACTTAGAAAGAACGTGTCTATCGTATACCACTGAGTAAACCATTCTCAATAGTAAAAGCACGGTTCTTGGATCCAAATTTTGGTAAACTTGTAAAGAATAATCCTCTGTAGTAGACAGTTTCAGAATACAGTTTAAGTGAGCGACCCGAAAACAACTATGATCTCGAGAAATACAGTACTTATGTGTTTGGAACACTCTCTAATGAAAAACAAAGACAACTTGATTCTTATCTAGTGCTTAAACAGATCGAGTTTATTCTCTACAGAACAAATTTTTCTGCTATTTGAGTCGTCTATAAAGCGTGATTACAGTTGGCAGTGAATGTACACGCGAATGACTTTACATACTTTAAGTTGTCTGTTTTGAGAGTGTTAACGGTCATCATCAACCTTTTGACTGTAATCTCAATGATAAGAGAGGTTTATGGGTGCTACATAAATGATTATATATATATATATATATATAAAGTAAATAAGAAATTTACACTGAAAATATGACTGATAAACTCTTTGTTTACATAGGTTATCATAGCATTGGCTGAGAAACAACGTACACATGTCCCTTACCGCAACAGTATGATGACAATGATGCTACGTGATAGTCTAGGAGGGAATTGTATGACGTCAATGATAGCCACTTGTAGTATTGAGCAACAGAACCTACAGGTTAGTTTCCAATTGAAATAATCTACGACTTAACGAAATTATTTATTTGAAATTATTTAAAATCTGAGATCTAAGTTTTCTAAAGTGATCACAGTGCCGTTTCGTAGATAAAATCAGCATGAAAACCAAGTCAATGGTATATTTTTGATTTATATTAAACAACCATAGACCCTAAGTGATTTTAATGCAATCCGCTATTCATTACTGTAAATTGTAGACGTGTGTTGTTTGAGGACTTCATCAACGTCCTACAGGTTTATGCATTAAGCAACAATTAACTTGTGATACTGCTTGGATGCAAATATCGATGTGGATAAAGAAGGGGTTGAACTCCAACTATTTTTTGGAAAATCGACTGCTTCAGAAAATGAGTCTTAACTGCGCTTAGATTTGCGAATGAAATTCTCAGTGCATGCTTGATCACAGAAAAGCTGGTTCCATTTTCTTTCCAACTAAGCGCTTCCTAACTTACTAAAAGCCTTTATCATATTCTTTAGAATTAATTGACTTCATCTGAATGTGGAAATCTTTAAAAATCAGTTTCAACGTTTCTATGAGAGCGATAGGCTTTTATGCAAATGATTATGAAATCTCACATAACGAAGTTAAAACATTTACGCAAGGGAATTTTCTTTTTCGACGATATCATTTTCTAAAGCTGTACAATCGTATTTATATATATATCATAAAAAAACAATAGGGTATAATTACATCACTGACCAAGTGCTACGAAAAACTGAATCAAGATTGCAAAGTAGTTGCGTAACAATCTAAGACATTAGAAATATCGAGGAAGGCGGGGAGTTTGACAAGGTGAAAATTGTTGGTAGATAAGAAACGCAAATATTGAGTGTCCACTTGATAGATAGGTGTAAAGAAGGTGAAGAATGAGACAAGGGTTATAATGAAGGTGATAATAATAAACTAATTAATTATAATGAAATCGAAAAAAATGAAAGTGTTAAGACCATGGTAAGATGAGAGATTGAACATACTTCTTTTGCACGCAGAGATCAGGCTTGAATTGATGAATTGCCAGTGCCTCTGCTGTGCACAACTGTCGAAGGCGTACTCCTTTTGAACAATTCCATCTGACACAATAAATGACATTGAAGGAAGATTCTGGTCTAGCTTTATGTCCACAGTTGACCAAATGTTTAAGAATTGAACTGTTAACTGATTTACATTCTCCCCTCGACAACCATGCAGGATAGTGCTCCAAGATACGTTTAGAAAGCGTGCGCTTTGTGCAGCTTTAGAAAATGATATCGTCGAAAAATAAAATTTTCTTCGCTGAATTATCTCTTCTGTATGACTCAGTGGGCATGTTTCGTAATCTACGCAAGGATTATAGAGATCACTTGGTTGCCTATTCTTACTTGTATTATGTATACGAGGTAAACGTTCAACTTCAGCGTAATCAGATGAATAAGAAAAGTCAAATATGAATGAAGAATATTCTTTTCAATAACTTCTTATCAGGTTCAACAGTCATAAAATAATCTATTTAGGTAACATATATGTAGGCAGAATATCCAGCGAATGCACTTAGAAAGGGGTATGGGACTACAATTAAAATTCGATTTATTAAGTTTATGGATGCTAGTATAAGTTATATGTATGCATATCAATTGTGGCAATAAGTTGAGTGTTAACTGTGTCAACGGATTGGTGATCAGACGTATGGTTTAAGGTTGCATTGTATCGAGTGAGCAATTAGTACAAAAAAGTGACATGGATTTACCTGAGGGCAGAAATGGAGTGGATATATCATCATAAGATGGTTAGTATGTGAAACAACTTAGATAATGGGAGTTGTTATAGTGTGAAAAAGAATTTTTAACAGGAATTTTAAAGGTTTATTATGATAAGAAAGTTTGATTGACAATAATAGCAATAATAATTATAATAATTTAGTTCTAGAAAGAAAGAAATGAGGAGAGTGGGAATGAAAGTAGAAACGATAAAGGAAGATTGAGAAAGAAACGAAAGGGTTTAGGGAATCCCGTTTAGTCCCTGGAAGGCCAAGGGAGGAATAGGATTTAGGCGTGTTCTTTTTTAAGTAAAAAGTTCAGGCTTCGTTGATCTTATAGCTACATCTCCCACTATATGGAGAATGTGTAAACGAATGGCACATAGTAAAGTCTTAGGAACGCGGTGTATCACAATGAAAGCTGTACTATCATTTATTTAGTGTCCTGTATCTATTAGATGTGGTAGTGTAGAACTTCTAATGGGCTTGATCTCACCCTTTACAAATCATACTCTTAGATGTTCTCGTATCCGGAGACGGTGTCTAATAGTACACCCTATATAACTGGTTTCACAGGACCAGTTCAATTGGTATATGTATGATGATGAGGTTAAACTAGGTGAGACGTTCTTAAGTCTTAAGCTGGTTGCCTATTAAAGGAAAGGCACAGACATCCTGAATAAAACGTTCTATTTATTACTCTGGATACACGTTGTGATAAAATTTCACTCAGAGTATCTCCTTTAAATTACAGAGGCTGAAACATTTTTTTCTGTACGCTTGTCAATTCGTGTTTTTAAATGTTATGAGCGATGTTTGCGTTTATAAACTTCTCAGAATATCCGTTTTCTCTTAAAATATCATGAAGAACTTATAATTCTTTCTTGACACATTCGTTGGAGCAGATCGATTTTGTTCTAAACGCTAAACATGAATATTATTTAGTTTGTACTTGAGTAACATAAGAGACTTTTTTGAGCAGTAAAACCTTGAGTAAGCTTACGCATAATGACACCATGAAAGTGGTGATTTAAACTGAGGTATAAATAGCAATACTGAATGCTCAGCATAACTGGAAATTATCATGACGCTCAAGAATACAGGTCTGTCTTTAACTCAGAGAATAACTTTGGTAGATGAAAATTTATCATTACAAACATACATTTTCAATGCACAAAACCGATGTTGAAGAAACTAGCTTATTTTCTCTAAATAGTTCAATAAAACACTAAACTACTGAGCTTTATTAAACCAGTCGCTCATTAGTACAAATCAGACTGAAATATATCGGAGCTCTTACCTTAGAAAATGATGATATAATGTGTTGACTTAAACTTTATTTACTTTTTATCACATTTCAGACACAAATCTAAGACTCTGAGGAACTAGCTTTGTAGGAAAGAAATAAAATTACATTTTAAGTTATTGAATTAAACATTAGTTATCTTTATGAATCTTGAAAGTATTCATCCTACTTTTTTTGACATTTTCTGACACCTTTGAGAATGCTCATTGAATTTCATTACACAACTCAATACCATCCATTCAAGAAGGAATCAACTGGTATTAAATCGTTTCTTGGAACAAAAGACCCATTTTTGCATTTAAATAATTCGTTCAACATTATGTAATCGGTACAAAAAGCAATCTCAAAAGTCATCAAGATATCCACTTCATATATTGTGTAATTTTTGAAAAGTTACGAAAATTTAGAATTTATATGATATCTTATAATTAAAGAGATGTTTATTTATAACCAAAAAGTTTTCAAGTTGTTATTCATCGAAGACTGACATCAGTTGGAGGAACAAAGGGAACCTGAGAGCACTGGACAGCTGTTTCGTCCTAGTATGGGACTCCTCAACAGTGCGCACCCATGACCCCACACCAGCAGGGATCGAACCCGCGACCTTCAGGTTCCGCGACCAGCGCGTTACCATTGAGCCACTGGGTCAGAATCCAGTGCTGGTATGGGGTCATGGGTGCGCACTGCTGAGGAGTCCTACACTAGGACGAAACAGCTGTCCAGTGCTCCCAGGTTTCCTTTGTTCCTCCAACTGATGTCAGTCTTCGATGAATAACAACTTGAAATATTTCCAAATCTTCACAACTCCCTCAAAAAGTTTTCATTTTTTTTTTGAAATTTAGGAGACACTATCAACTTGTCGTTTTGCACAACGTGTTGCTTTAATCAAAAACGAGATTACTTTGAATGAAGAACAAGATCCCTATTTAACTATTAATCACTTAAAGTCTGAAATTGAACATTTAAAAGCTCAGTTAGCTTTAGTCACAGGAACTGAAAAAGATGTCATACTAAGTACTGATGACAAAGAAAGGTAAGTTTTCATTCATTGGTACTTGTATTCTTCCGTTGATTACTTTGAGCTGAATTACTCAACATCTGTTAGCAGAAGGGTTCCAATGCCAATATTTCGATATTCATTATATCATAGTCTAATTGGTGGCCAGTGATGGAATCCAGTATAACAACGGGCGGTAAGAAGTATCGATAAATGCCAACTGATACCCAATGTATATAAGCTGACTATCATGTTTTAGTGACCTAATGAATAATACTTTTACGTTTGAAGTGATGGGTATAAAGTCCATGTTTCAATGGGATTACCATCACTCGCTGGATTGCAGGGATATCCAGCTGATGAGTCACAAATAGGACGAAACGTGCATGCTACATTCCACCACTAGTCATCAAGTAAATTATGAGAGAAAGGTAAGTTAATTGCAACGATTCCTCATCTATTTTGATCGGTAAGTTAATGAGATATTTTAAGTAAAGCATTCCATATGCATCTGAGCACTGCCAACTCCGGTTACAATTATTTTCCATTTTACTAAATAAAGTAAACTGAAATGCTACTGTTTTATTATTATGCCAAGTAGTCTTATATGGATCTGATGACTCTGCTTCTCTTTTTCTGTAAACGCACGCTGGTGCTGTTAAAACGCATACTATTTGAAAGCCATTCACTTCTTATGAAATTCACCGTTCTTCTGCTTGTTCATATTACAATTCACTTCATTAGAGGACGCTTAGCTCTATTCGTTTTATGAATAGATAAAGTGAAATTGTCATGCTAGAATCGATTTCAGTCAATTGTGTTGAAGTTCTACAAACGCTAAGTTAACGTTTCCGTTAATGAGAAAAATCAAATTGGTTGATAGAGACTATAGGGTTGTTATAATTCATTGAAGCTATTCTCAATTAAGACATTAAGTGTATCTTCTAGTCGGAATTTATTCTTCGTACAATTTTAGTTATGAAAGCAATTACAATCCACAACACAAACAAGCATTTCCGCATAAAAGTTAAATTTTTGGTTGTTACAAATGTTAAATTGTCTGTTATTGCTGGATATATATTTTTTCTGGTATTCTCCAATCTTCGAAGTTTGTACTGGAATGTTTCATCACCGAACTCGGTGACTTCATTAGTCTATGCATTAATATTTGCCTAACAGTAATTACTTGATAGACAGGTGCCCAATTAGTCTTATTGTCAACAATCATGTATATATGGAGAATAATTTTCCAGGGGAGACTGTAACAACCAGTTGTTGATACGTTTTCATCTAGCCTGCAGGCAGGTACGTTGTTGCAGAGGGGTGCGTGGAGGAGTGTAAGTTTGGTGGTGACCAGGACAATCTTTAAGAAAAAAAAGGGGAAGCGGAAAAAGGTGAGCCGACTACTCAACAAGTACACAAAATGTACTTACATTTAATAGTGAAAGATAACTGACAAATGGTAGAGCCTAACAGCGAAGAGGTGAGGTAGTCTGCAAATCGAACTTGGAAGTTGAATAAGTAAGATTTCGAATGCGTTAGAAGACTGATTCCAGTAAATAAGCAGATGCCGAGATTTTAAACTTTTAATTCCATATTCATCAATGACTAATTCACAATGGGAAGCTAAGTGACGCCTTTGAAGTGAAGACAGGAGTGAAACAAGGCTGTCTACTATCACCAATGATATTCCTGATTGTAGTGGACTGGATCATGCAAAAAACAGTGAGGAGCGAGAAGACGGGGATACTCTGGCTGGATCGGGGAAAAGAACCTAGAAGATTTGGATTTCGCCAATGACTTGTGTCTAATATCACACAAACTCGAAGATCTACAGGCGAAAACCAACAAGTTGGCAGAAGAGTCAGGGAAGCGATGACGGGACTTCAAGTGAACATAGAGAAGGTAGTGGTGATGAAGATACCCAACCAACAATAACAACAGCAACAACAAGCTCCAACCAGCATCAATAGGAGAGACTTGAAGGAAGTAGTCTCTCTCACCTATCTAGGCAGCATCGTTTCAAGTGCAGGTGGTGGCGGCACAGATGAGGACGTCAAATCCAGCCAGTATCGAGAAGACAGGAAGACAGGCTTTCATTAACCTGAAACCAGTGTGGAGATCGTTTGCACTGAACTCGGCGTGTGGAACAATATCCGGATTTTCAACACCATCGTCAAGTCAGTGCTTTCATATGATGGTTGAGAGGCTTGGTGCGTTACGAAAGGTATTTCCAACAAACTACAAACACTCATCATGAACAACTGCCTACACTGCCTCGTTACTGAGGTTCAGTTGGCCAGAATAATAAGAATAAGCAAGGAGTAACTGTGACTGGCTGGTAACTAACCAACCAAGAACCTATCACTCAAAAAATGTGCAGCAGAAGGAAGTGGAAATGGATTGGATTGGGCATACACTGAGAAGGCCGACTGGGGAAATCACGGGTCATGCCAGGCCGTCGAGTGGAACTGAGATGGGAAACGACGAATTGGGCGTCTGAGGTGAGTGTGACATGGAGGAGATGGTGTGAGGAATAAATGAAAGCTTGTAGGGAGTTGTGGAGCCAGGTTCTAAAGATTTGAGAGAAGAGATTGGAATGGAGACGTGCTAGTGAAGCCCTATGTTCCACTAGGAACCCAAGGGACAAATAATAGTAATAATATTTTTAGTTAACAGAGCAGATTTGGATTCCAGGTTTGTCATAACCCACAGCTTATTTCAACTTTATTCAAGAGTTACACCTGCTATTCTTTATTTCTCACGCAAAGGTAATATCAATATACTTACTACTTATTTTCTGAATTACAATACAGATGTGAAAAATTAGTTCAGGAGTTTCTAACTACCCCGCCGACAAGTGATGAATATAAAACTATACTTTCTCCTGTCCTGTCAAATATTCATATGATCAATTTAGGCTTCTCACTTATTCATGTAAGTTTACAGCGTCCTTGTTTTGCCTTGTGTTTATCGCCATAATACTAAGGATTGTGTAAACTTCAACGTCATCTTCAATACACTTTCATGAAGGAGTTACTAAACCATATTCTTCAGGTTAATCTCATCTTAATCGTAAACCAAAAGGGATGAAACTGAAGAACTAATGACTTCCTATTATGATAACTGTAGAAGCTTTTGGTTGTGTTGTGTTTCTCTAAGCCAGGTGCTTTATTCATGAAGCTCTCATTGTTTTCCCAAACGACACCATCAGCACTAGCTTCAATACGAAGTGACCTGTCAATATCTCCATGAGTGACCAAGCAGCTTGATCTGACAAATTGGTTTGTGGCTGGGTGTTTCCCTTGGTTGTTGTATCATTGACTATCTCTCCTCCTGACCTCTGACCTTTTAGTCACTTATCATTTATCTTGTTGGTTAGCAGAACGGCGAAAAAGGCGACCACTTTTTCCAACGTCCAGTGGATTGTAATCATTGTAGTTGATTCTGTAGATGATATTCAATTTGTTTTCTTTGCGTGCGGCGTTCCTCGGTTTGCATAATGTGATTTTAGGGAATTCGTTGGTTTATAAGCCACACCAATTCCAAATAGTCTCAGTAACCTTATCATGATCTCTGATGTATTCTTTATTTACAGTAGGATGATTATTCTGTTGATTTCTATCGATGACTTTTGTTGATGAGTAGAGTAGGTACCTGCTGAAAACGTCTTAAGGATAACTATTTTTCTTTATGATAGATGTCAATTGGTTTTCTTCTTGGTGAAGTTGTTGTACTGTAGTGTATTCTTGCTCTTACGAATAGAGTCTGCACGCAACTAAATTTTTGCGTTGTCGGTTTTTTGCTACTGTGGTTAAGGCTTTGACCAGTGTGTTTTGATTGCCGTACACCTGAGTTTCAAATTTTCCCGCATTAATTATACTCATTAAAACATCCAGGAATGGTAGTGAATAGTACTAGTAATCAAGTGTTAATCGTCTGCACCAATTAGGAGTACTCACCAGCTTAGAACAAGAGTAGATCAATGAAATTCTGGATGACAATTGAATATAATTGAATGTAACCTGGGTAGCAATTGGATTTGAACCTGCGGAACTCAGGTTACTGATTCGGTGTTCTACCAACTGAGTAACAACAATTATCTTCTGACAAGATCTTAATTTTTTTTCAGTCACAAAGTTACACAATGATCACCTGTCTATCGAAACCATATAAGGTGTAATGAAGTTTGAACAGGTACGTTTCCATTTGACAAATAGTTAGGTATTAAAGCCAACTATTAACAACTTTGCATTCATCCATCAATAAAAGCTTAGGTTCTACGATGTATCTGAATAGTGAAACGGTTACTCTGAGTTCACATGTGAATTGTACAACTTTGGCTTAAAAATTCTTGTTAATTTAAGCAAATTTTGTTGGATCGAATTGTTCGGCCTCTATTGGCATATGGGCTCTTATACGGATGCCTTAATATTACCTGAATGTTAATTACAGTAATTTACTTGGTTGTGGTTGTGCGTCCTGGATTTTTCTGCTAGCCACGACCAAGCAAATTACCATTATTATTATTATTACTATTATATTTCCCATTAAAATTTCCAAATTCATATTTTTCTTGCTCAGTGATCTAGTTCTAAAGTTGATTTTTTCTTATTTCAACTCAATAACTATCAGGCATTATATTGGAAGAATATCCAGAAGCATGAATCAGTTAAAACACCAACTAAACAAGTTATTGTACCACCACTGCCAAATACAACTAAGGAAGCGAATCAGTTACGTGAAATTTTAGCTCAAAGAGATCATGAAATTCGTATCCTTAAGTAAAGTTTTTCATAATTCTGAAAATTTACTACTACTACCACTACTACTAATATATTACTGATACGACAAGATACTTTTGATGTTTCAAGAATTATTCACCTATTAATTGATTTCGTATACTGTTGAATACATTGTTGCATCGTTGATTGGTCTCCATTGGCGTATAGGCTCCTGAGTGAATGCTTTCATACCTTGAAATAGTGGAGAATATTTGTAGCTCAGGTGGTTGGTCTTGGTTGTATTGTGTTCTCTGAGCTGGGTTGTTTAATCGTGAAGCTTTCATCGTCCTTCTAGACGACACTTTTGTCATCATTAAAAAAGATGATATAGAAAACACCCACAATTTGATCAACAACGTTTTCACTGGCATCAAATTCACAATCGAGAAGGAGTCAAACAACCAACTACCATTCCTGGATGTTCTGGTCACTAGAACAAGTATGGAGAAGCTGGAAACCCAATTGTACAGGAAGCCAACACATACTGACCATGTGCTCAACTACAGCAGCAACAACCCACAAGGTCAGTTGTGTGCAGACTCTATTCAGAAGAGCGAGAACACACTGCAGCACAACAGCTTCACGGAGAAAAGAAGAAAATTACTTGGTGTCCATCCTGAAGAAGAACGGCTACCCATGCAACTTTATCAGAAGATGTCTATCCCGTACATCATCAACTACAAAGTCATCTATAGAAATCAATAAATGCATCATCCTACCATACATAAAGAAGATGTATCAGAAACCACAACAAGATTTCTGAGACCACTTGGAATTTGTGTGGCTCATTAACCAACAAATTCCCTCCAAACACTATTATGCAGACCAAAAGATGTGACAAGCAAAGAAGACAAGCTAAATATCATTTGCGAAATCAACTGTAATAACTGTAGTCAGCACTACATTGGACAAAGTGGTCACCTCTTAGCCTTCGTCTACATAGACACCAATTGGCTATTAAACGTCACACATGACATTTCATCATTCATTTCAATGCATGTGGATAATTATGGACATGAACTCAATTTTGACAATGTAGAAATTTTGAACAGAGGAAACACAAAGAATATCAGGGAATTCCTAGAGGTTTGGCATTCAGGTGAGTCAGCAATTAACAGATGTGTAGACATAGACCCAATCTATCAACCAATAATAAAGATGGAAAACGACAGAAAGGTCAGAGGTGAAGCAGAGGGATAGCCAACAGTAAAATCTATACAGTCAATGACACAACAATCAAAAGAAAACAACCAGTCATAGACCGCTTCGTCAAGGTAAGCTACTAGATGACTCACATAGGGATATTTACAGCTCACTTCATACTGAAGTTAGTGTTGATGATGTCGTCTAGAAGGACGATGAAAGCTTCAAGATTAAGCAACCCACCTCAGAGAACACAATGCAACCAAGATGCTTTCATATCTTCTGCCGTTTTAATTTCATTATAGTGAGGGCTAGTTTCTAGCGGTAGAATCCAGGATATATTTCATATTTATTAGTGACTTGTCGGCTGAATGTGTCTACCTCCAAGTGAGCGATGTTATTCTTATTCAGGCTAGAACTTTGAACTGATCACTCCAAACGCCAGTGCGTAGTCCACTAGGCTAACGAGTTAATTCTCCGGCGAGATAATACAACCAACAACATAAAAAAATATACTGTTTGCACAAGAAGTGTCTATCATGACTCATTGACCTGGTGGACGACTGTGGCGTTTGAGGCCATCTTTCCTAGGTTTGAGTCTTAGCGGGAACATCACCGCTCACCGAGAAAGTAATACATCCAGCTGACAAGTCAGAAATTAGACGAAATCTGTGTCCTGGATTCCAGTGCTTGCCACCATCCAACATCACTATCTGATTTACTGTTCAGCAGTTCTTAGTTATGCAGAATCGAATGAATGACAACCATTTTTTAACACGGTTCGCAGCTTTAATTACATTTTGTATCAAAAATCATCATCATTTAGAGAAGTAGTTTGAATCGTGAAGTTCTACGGTCATGAGATTCCTTCAGGTCTTCTAACAACGAACCGATGACCTCAACGATGATTGCTGAATACCCTTTACTTCTCTCATGCTAAGAAATCTGTTTATTGGATTCAATCCAAGCAGTTTAGTGATCTTCACGTCAATTGCGTTCAAAAATTTACATTATCCACAAATTAAAGACTGAGACATAAACGGAACTCCTGAAAATTCTTTTCTTTGAAGGTATTCATCATTTATTACCTTGTTGGAGGGACTTTTTTGAGCTAATTTAAGTTTTATCAGTGATTGAGAAAATTTATAATGTCGAAAGCTTTTTTAGCTATAGTTTATCTGCTAATTCTTAACAAAAAGCATTTTATAGGCGTTTTAGTCAACTTATTAAAACAAGAAAAGCAAGGAAGAAAGCCAGGAGTTTGTTCTGCGGATGCATATAATAGTTCAAATAAAATGATATAAACAACGATAATACGAAAAATTTGATAGAGTTAACAAATGAAACCTATAGAACACCAATTCAGAATGATATCACAGATAAGAATATCAAACACGACTGGAACTATATAACTTCACAGAAATTATCAGATGAGTCAAAACGCGTAGTTGACCATGTCACAGAATGGTTAGAGCAACAAGCTAAAGGAAAACTGCGTAAGTTCATCGATTCTACATCTAAAGCAAATACTGTAAGCATGTTCTGTCGACATTTAAACAGTATATACGTCACTTTTTTCCTGTTGTTTATGCATCGATTCCACCTAAATGTATCATGCTGTTATTATTAAAAAATTGAATTAGTCTTTCTCTTCAATCAGACATATATAGACATGTATAACGTATCTTTCGGCAATATTTCTAGATGAAAGAGTATAGTTATTCCAAAATGTCTTGGTAGTCGAATTGTGAGTGATAGTGGCTTATCCTTGACAGGAACGATCGTTATTTCCTTTTTTTTACTACCTAACTCTGTAGGCTTAATTACTTTATATTTATTTATTTGTCCCTTAGGTTCCTAGTAGAACATAGAGCTTCAACAGCACTCCTCCATTGCACTCTCAATTTTGCAGTCTTATCAACCTGGCTTCACGACTGCTTTCGTTTCTTCCTCACACCATCTCCTTCATGTCACCATCTCCTAGGACGCCCAACTCATCGTTTCCATTTGGATTACACTCGAGGGCCTCGCTTGGCAGGTAATGTCCCCAAATCGTCTTCTCAGTGTATGCCTAACCCAATCCATCTCAACTTTCTTCTGCGTATTTGTTGGGCGATGGGTTGTTGGGTGATTGGTCACCAGTCAACAAGAGTTCCTCCCTGCTTATTCTTATTATTCTGGCCATCTTATCTGATCTTCAGTATCGAGTGAGCGCAGGCGGCAGCTGTTGGTGCAATATACGTCTGGAGTTTGTTGGAAATGCTTTTCGTAACTCGCCAAGTCTCTCAACCATCACGTTGAATCACTGACTTACTTGACTGACATAAGTGTTGAAAATCCGGATGTTGTTCACGCTTTGTGCAGAGTGCAGTAGATTTCCACACTTATTTCTTATTAATGAAGGCCTGTCTTGCTTTTCCAATACTGGCATTGACATCCTCGTCTGTGCCGCCTGTAGTTGAAATGATGCTGCCTGGGTAGGTGGAAGAAACTACTTCCTTTAGGTTTCTCCCATTGATGGTGATTGATGCTTGCTTTTGGTTGGCTATCTTTGTCACCTCTGTCTTTTCTACATTCACTTGAAGTCCCATCATCGCTTCCCTGCCTTTAAGGCCAACTTGTTGGTTTTAGCCTGTAGATCTTCAAGTTTGTGCAACAAGACATCAGACATAAATCATCGTCATCGGCGAAATCCAAATCTTCTTCTGTGGTCTTTTCATCGGTCCAGCGTATGCCTCTCTTCTTGCTCCTCACAGTTTGTTGAATGATCAATTCCAGTCGGTGATAGTAGGCGGCCTATCTTCACTTCGCTTCAAAGGCATCACGTAGCTTTCTTTTGTGAATCACTCTGCATGTGGCGTCTTCATATAGCTGGTGAATGAGGTTCAAAGTCGATGAAGCTGAGGTAGAGTTGAGTTGACTGCCATTCTATGCTCTGTTCTATGATGCGTAGCGTAGTGTTACAAGTCGGTCCGCACACGATTTGTTCTTCCTAAAGCCAGGCAGCCAGCCTGTTTCCGTCGTAATTTTGAATACAGAGCATCTTTTAGTCTCTCGAGGATGATGCGGCTTAATATTTTGCTTGCTTCGGGTGGACAATAGCATGATTCCGTGCCAGTTCTTGCAATGACCTAGGCTGCTCTTCTTTGAGAGTTTGGCAAGGTAGCCCTTCTTCCAGTCGGCAAGTACCTTTCATCCCTTCCTTCGAAGCCTTCTGCAGTAGTGGTGTGATCATGTCCACTGTTGTCTCTGCATCTGTTTTCAACGCTTCTGGAGTAATTCCATCTGATCATCTTGCTTTCTCAGATTTCAGCAAATTTATGGCGTTCACGACTTCATTTCTACTTTTGTCGGAGGGCCTGTGTTCACTGGTAATTCTGTGGCTCGTATGCTGGTGGTATTTCTGGACGAGTTGCAGGTGGTTATGATGGTCGGTTCATGAGTGTTTTGAAGTGGTCAGCCCATTGTTTCCTTTATTTCTTCTCTTGGTATTAATTAGGTTTCCTTCACTATCTCTCATTGGTTTCATCGGTGTTGACCTCTCCCCTCCTAGGTAGTAACCTGGTTATTTGATATAATGTTGTCAGGTCTCTGTCTCTCCTACCAGCAGCCAGTTCTACTTCACTTAGCAGTGTGTCGTACAAGTGTCTTTTGTCTTTGCGCGCACGCTTCTTCACTTATTTGTCCAGTGTAGTGTTTTATAGGTTGTACTCACTTCCGCTTTTCGTTGTTCATGCCTGCACTCCACTGCACTGCACTAGTTCATCTTCTTCTTCTTCTTCTTCTTCACTGTCTTCCTCTTCATGCTTTATTGGCTTCCATGTGTCCGTGGAGAATGATTCCTTGTCGTGTCTTGCTTCTTCCTCCTTCCTAACGCGGTTATGCAGGTTTCTTTCCACATTCCTTTCAAAGAGTTCCAGTGTTATCCACTCAGGCTTCTTCAGGGATGTTGCTCATAGTCTCCCATATGTTACTGATGACTGACTGACTGACTGACTGACTGACTGACTGACTGACTGACGTGAAAATGTCCTTTGTAGTTTCGTCCTTCAGTACACTTTCTGTTCTCAGTGTTCAACTTCAATTTGGTCGTCTATCACCAACTTCTTTCAAGGCATTCAACTTTATGCTGAAGGTAGGTTCCTTCCACTAGATAGTGAGTGGTGTGAACCTACATCTGCTGCCTTGCTTCATCTGATCTTGTGTCCAGTAGGCTGCATCTCCACTTTCTTCACATTGAGATGAAGTCGATCTGATTTTTAGTGTAGTGTGTCCTAGTATCTGTTGAAGTCAAATCCATGTCGCTCGCTTTGTGAATATCTTTGTGTTTGTATACAGTGGCTCCACAGTAATTAGTTAAGCAGATAATATTTATCAAGTTTCAGGTAAGTCAAGCTCCCTAAACAGATGAAAAGTTGATGGTTTTATTCGACATAACATGAAGCGGGTTCACTAAGTAGCTTGATGTGGTGAATGATTTCCTTTGTGATGTATTCTTTGAACTAAACAGCTTTATCATGAAGTTTGCATTATCTTTATAAGGATATATTTTTGGTATAATAGCAGCGTGTTTAGGAAATTAGAACAGGATTATTGTGAATGTTTCAATGTGTATGCCACAGTTTCTTCACAATCAAAATTTGCTGATTACTGTACTTGTATACCAGTAACTGTTCACTGACCAATAAACAGTAATTGGCGTTGTTCTTAAAAGCTTTTGAAGTAATTTTAAAGATTACCTTAATAACGACTGAAATGACTGATTCAATTCCTTGATTTTGATTGAAAATTTACTTTTTTCATAAAATATAAAGCTCTGATTGGTCACTTTAGAAGTTGTTAGGGTGACCCTTAAAGTAACTTGACTTATGACTTCTTTATTTGGGTAAAAATCTTTTGCCAAAATGTCTTCATTATCAAAGTCAATCTTATAATTCATTTTCAATAAATGATCATTTTTCTAAATTTCTAAGCTTAGCTTGTTTCTTTGGCAGACATTTTATACATACCTTGTTTCTATTCATTTTAATTCTTTGGGGTCTACAACTTTCTCCAAAACAAGAATCCTCATATTACAGACGTTTAATTCTATGGACACAATTGTTATATTTTCTTGGTGAATTAGGCTTTAACTTTAACTAAGACCTTGTTCAATGAATTACAAGTTTTGAAATACCCTGAGAAACAAATCCTCTTGGAAATTGTTCAGAAGTACCTTTTCAATAAGGTAGGATGATAGTATATTAAAATATATTCCCGTAGTGATTATATCAGACTCAATTTTCTTCTAGGACATTCATATTAACTCTGATCTGAATGTTTGTAAACCATAATTATCAGTTCAGACAGCATCTTCAGCACTAATTTTATTATGATATCATACTGAATTGTTACTGATGAGAGTGTATGAAATGGTAATGACTTTCCAGTAGTTTTAAACTTCTAAGTAGTAAAGTAAATGCTGGAGGTTAGTTATCATCTAAGATCCTGCACACCGAAAGTTTATACTACTTACAACTTTTGAAAGTAGTACGTTAAAACGTATCTGTTTTCCTCTACAAACATGGCCTGCGAAGTCAAGAAATTTGTGGAGTGTCTTTTATCCTTCTAGAAAATCTCTCTTGTGTAGCAACTAATGTAACACCATATACTACATTTTTAGTATTTAATCTGTGTTCATGCTGATACTACACGTCCGCAGTGAGTGGTTACTTGTTAAATTTAGACTAAATAAGTGAAATATTGAAAATTCTTGATGAAATGTGAAAGAATTTGGGTGTTTTGAATCTGTACTCTGGTGAAACACTCATCATAGTTGAATGAAGTAGAGCTACGTGACATCTGACCGAGATAACCTCATACAGTTAATCTTTCTTGTACGGTTAAGTTCAGTGACTGTAGAATAAACATACAACTGGAACCAACATTTTAGTAATTTAAAGTTTAATTGTGAAGTCTTAGCTGGAAGATGTCAGCTCATTAGCTTGTGAACCTTCAATGAATCAAGTGGTCGGGACATATGTCATGCTTGCCTAGCAACAATCTACCCCGTCACACAATGTTAACTGAAGTTGGTCCAGGTAAAAAAAGATCACAAGCGACCAGACTAGAACACGGCATCCATCTATGAAATCTTTGATAGTTGGACTAAGCTGTATAGGAAAATACAGACTTCCATACTTTAGTCCTTATGATAGCTGAAATCGTTATTTGGAGATTAGATGGTTGGCCCAGAATCGACCTCATTGGAGTAGATGTATCCACAGATTATCTTCATCTCGGTAGTAATATCGTTCATCTTTATTCAGTTCATGACATTTCTCATTATATGCTGCAAATTTTGGTCACTCATTTTCTATTTCTCTTTCTTCTGACTTCTTACCCTGCGTCTTGGTATAGGGATATGACCATTTGAACCATCATGAGGAAAATGCCAGATTCCATACTGATTTTGACTGATGACATATTATACTTCGAATTACTTAGCTTTGATATTCACAGGGAAAAAGTTTGTTATCCATACCAGCAGATAGTAGAGAATTCTCGGTCAGAAAACATATTGTAATTAGGGTTTCTAACAGATGTGGTAGCTTCGGTTCCGCTTAACAGTAGCGGATAACATGGAGAAATAAAGGCAGATGTTCACTGATGCCAAGAATTTCGTTAAGATGAGTCCGTTTTGTCTCAAGACTCTTCATCAGCCGCAAACCGGTTACAATTGGAATGAGGAGAAATTTATT